CATAGTGCTTAAGGGAACCGTACATCAACCAAGACATAACAATCATAAATATTTCTGCCCCAAATAATAGAGCACTATGTACATCCAACAAACCCTACTCTCTTTCAAGAATCAAATAGACCACAACACAATAATACTTTAACTCTTTAACTTTAACTCTTTCACAACTGGTTAGATCCTCTAGACAAAAACTAAATAAAGAATCTATAGAACTAAAAAATATAAATAATTTTTTAGACTTCACAGACTTATATAGAATATTTCATCCATCAATGAATACACTTTTTTCTCAGTGGCACACAGACCCTTCTCTAAAATAGACCATATCTTAGCAAATACAACTTAGCAAAGCAACTCTTAGCAAACACAACAAAAATGATGATACCTTGCATTCTATCATATCATAATGGATGAAATAAAAAATCAATGACAAAATAAAAAATAGAAGTTACCCTAACATCTGGACTAAATAATACCTTGTTGAATGATCAATGGATAGCAGAAGACATCAGGGACTAGTAAAAAAAAAATACTTAGAGGCAAATGAAAATCATGACACAACTTACCAAATCTCTGGGACACTATGAAGGCAGTTCTAAGAGGAAAGTTCATTGCATTGAGCTCATTCACTAAAAGAATAGAAAGTCACCAAATAAATAACCCAACATTTTGTCTCAAAGCACTAGAAAAACAAGAACAAGTCAACATCAAAGCAGTAGAAGACAGGAAATAATTAAAATTGGAGCTGAAATCAATGAAATTGAAACAAAAAAATTTTCAAAAAAATCAATAAAACAAAAAGTTGGGGGCTGGGGATAGAGCTCAGTTGGTAGAGTACTTGCATGCACAAGGCCCTGGGTTCAATCCCCAGCACCACAAAAATAAATAAATAAATAAATAGTTACACTAGTCATCTTTAAAAAAAAACTACATTAAAAAATTGGTTCTTGGAGGAAGAGCAGGAAGAAAATATTAACATTAAACAGAGACACGAGGTGGGAGGGAAAGGGAGAGAAAAGGGGAATTGCATGGAAATGGAAAGAGACCCTCATTGTTATAAAAAACTACATATAAGAGGTTGTGAGGGGAATTGGAAAAAAAAACAAGGAGAGAAACGAATTACAGCAGAGGGGATAGAAAGAGAAGATGGGAGGGGAGGGGAGGGGGGATAGTAGAGGATAGGAAAGATAGCAGAATACAACAGTTACTAGTATGGCAATATGTAAAAATGTGTATGTGTAACCGATGTGATTCTGCAATCTGTATTTGGGGTAAAAATGGGAGTTCATAACTCACTTGAAACTAATGTTTGAAATATGATATGTCAAGAGCTTTGTAATGTTTTGAACAACCAATAAAAAAAAAAAATTGGTTCTTGGGCTGGGGTTGTGGCTCAGTGGTAGAGCGCTCACCTCGCACGTATGAGACCCTGGTTCAATCCTCAGCACCACATAAAAATAAATAAGTGAAAAAAAGGTGTTGTGTCCAACTACAACTAAAAAATAAATATTCGTTTTAAAAAATTGATTCTTTGAAAAAAATAAATAAAATGATAAACCCTTAGCCAAGCTAACTAAGAAACAAAAGAGAGGGAAAAAACTTAAGTCACCAAAATCTTTTTTTAAAAAAGGAAATGTCACTATGGACACTACTGAAATACAGTTGATGATCAGAAACTGTTTTGAAATCTTATACTCCAATAAATTAGAAAATCTTGAAGCTATCAACAGATTTCTGGAGACATCTCACCTACCCAAATTGAATCAGGAGGACAGAGCAAATTTAAACACATCAATTTCAAGCAATAAAATTGAAAATGCCCTCAAAAGCCTACTGAAAAGGAAAAGCCCAAAACCAGAGAGATTCTCAGCTGAGTTCCACCAGACCTTCAAAGAAGAACTAACACCAATCCTCCTCAAATTACTCCATTAAATAGAAAAGGAGGGAACCCTTCCAAACCCATTCCATAAAGCTAGTATCACCCTGATTATGAACCAGATGAAGACACATTAAGGAAAGAAAACTTCAGACCAATATCCCTGATGAACATAGATGCAAAAATTCTTAATCAAATACTGACAAATTACATACAAAAACATATTAAAATGATAATGCACTATGATCAAATGAGGTCATCACAGGGATGCAAGGTTGGTTCAATTCATCACATCAATAGACTTAAAGACAAGAATCACATGATTATCTCAATAGATGCAAAAAAGGCATCGGACAAAGCACAGCTTCCATTCATGTTCAAAACACTAGAAAAACTAGGGACTAGGAACACACCTCAACATTGTAAAAGCTATCTCTGCTAAACCCAAGGCCAACATCATTCTAAATGGAGAAACATTAGAAGCATTCCCTCTAAAAACTGAAACAGACAGAGGTTCCCTCTTTCACCACTCCTATTCAACACAGTCCTTGAAATGCTAGTCAGAGCAATCAGGCAAAAGAAAGAAATTAAAGGGATACAAATAGGAAAAGACCAGCTCAAACTATGTCTATTTGCTGATGACATGATTCTATATTTAGAAGACCCAAAAAACTCCACCATAAAACTTCTAGAACTCATAAATGAATTCAGCAAAGTAGCAGGATATAAAATTAACACCCATAAATTGATTTTGTTCTTATATATGAGTAATAAATCAACTGACAGAGAAATTTTTAAAACTATCCCATTCACAATAGCCATAAATTTTTTTAAAAAAACTTACTTGGGAATCAAACTAAGAAAAGAGGTGAAAGAACTCCAAAATGAAGATCAGCATACTACATTGATGCAGCCACATCAATGTCTATAGCAGTTCAATTCACTATGGCTAAGTTATGGAATCAACCGAGGTGCCCTTCAACAGATGAATGGATAAAGAAATTGTGGTATATATACACAGTGAAACATTACTCAGCCATAAAAATAAGAATGGCTTTATGACTTTTGCCAGTAAATGGATGGCTTGGGAGACTATTATGCTAAGTGCAATAAGCCAATCCCAGAAAACCAAAGGCGGGATGTCCTTTCTGTATGAGGATGCTAACACACAACACGTGGAGGCAGGGAGGTTTGAATAGAGGTTCACTGGATTAGACAAAGGGAAATGATGGGAGGGAGGGGTATGGAATACACCCCAGTGAAA